TAACCCTAACTAACCCTAACCTAACTAACTAACTGGTCTGGTTGGCCCTGTCTGGTCTGGCTGGCCCTGTCTGGTCTGGCTGGCCCTGGCTGGTCTGGCTGGCCCTGGCTGGTCTGGCTGGCCCTGGCTGGTCTGGCTGGCCCTGGCTGGTCTGGCTGGCCCTGGCTGGCCTGGTTGGCCCTGGCTGGTCTGGCTGGCCCTGGCTGGCCTGGTTGGCCCTGGCTGGCCTGGTTGGCCTTGTCTGGCCTGGCTGGCCCTGTCTAGCCTAACTAACCCTGTCTAACCTGACTGGCCTGGCTAGCCTTATTAAAGACGCAGGGCCCCCCCCCCTAAGGGTTTAGGGTTAGGGTAGACGAGCGCCGGAATCCGCTAAGGTCTTGGTGGACGAGCGCAGGACAGACTTTCGGCGAAAAACAGGGCCCCACAATAAAATTCCCCCGCAAAAGAGGCTCGACTTACGCCGAAAGTCGAAGCGAATAGCTGTTAGGTTTATACGAACATAAGCCATTATGACAGGTGGTGGTTGTCGTCAAAGGTAAAGGTTTGCGTCCAGTCAAATGCGATATCAACATCGGCCATAGATGACCAATCGCCGCCAAGTTCTCCCTCCAGGTTTCCAGAAAAGTGTACGAGGTCGAAGGGGTTTGTGCTAAACTCGATGGTGCCAAATGAAGAAGACGCCGGCCGCTGTTGCTGCTGGTAGCACTCATCCCACCCTCCTAGAATATCCGTCTTTCGGCCCCGCGACAGGGTAATGGTGATCTTGCCAAAGTACGGTAGGATAACGTCGTACCTGTCTGGGCCGGCGTAGGTACCCCGCGCCGCCTGCGTGAGGAGGCCCAGCACCTCGGCAGCCTGTCTGGCAACATTGCACCGCATCAGATCCTCTGTGCACCTTAGTGTCGTAGTCAGCGCCTCGATGAGCGGCCAGTCTTCGTCGTTGTTGCCATCGTCGCCTGGCCTTCTCCGGGGCACAGGTGACAACAGGCGGATCAGCAGCGTGATGCCGGCACTGAAGGCCTGAAACTCGAGTGACTCGCACATGACAAACCGGCCCCTGTCGCAGCTCCTCAGGCCGAGATAAGCGCCGATCAGGCCGCGCGACGCGGCGACGGCCGATGCCTGGTTGAACTCGTACTCGGTGTCGGCGCTGAGCATAAAAGGCAGGTGCAGAAGCTTAGTGATGAGAAAATACTGAACCTTTGTCACCTGCTGGGCGTACAACTGCGCAAAAGGCTGGTCCGGTGGCGGCGGGTCGTGCCACCAGCTGTCGGACATGAGGGCCCGACACCCTTCGAGCTCGTGGCCGATCTGCACGGTGGTAAGGTAGCTCGGCTGCGGGCTCTGGTTCCTGGAGACAACGGATGTGGCCAGGTAGCACAATCTGTGCTGGAGTGTTTGAAGCTGGCTGTCGCAGCCGCCGCCGTCGTCGTGGTCGCCCCGCGGCTGCGGACCGGAACTCGGGGTGGGGGTGGGAATTGTGCTCGGTAGGCCTAGGATCAACGCGATGCTGGTCTCGAGATGCCAGATCTCGGTCCAGATGGCTGCTTCACGGCTACCGCCTCTTTTTTGGGCTGGGGTGCGATGGAGACGCAGGAGCAATGCCCAATCGGCAGCGCGGCGGATGCTGAGCCAGGCCTGGCGCGGGCAACCCATGTCCATGTAGAGCTTCTGCTGGATGAGTCGAGCCTCGATACCGTGTAGCGTTTCACCCGTGCTGGCAGATGTCAGCAGGCTGTCGGCTTTTTGCATGTACGATGCGAGAAGAGCCTCCTGCGATAATCCACACCATGCGAGCTGCAGCGTCTTTGGCGCCTGTTGAATACACAGCGACAGCCAGAGCAAGGCCTTGGCCGAGATGCAAGGGTGGCTGGACCTCACCATGTGGGACAAAAATCGAGCGGCAAATTCGACCCCGCCGGTCTGGAGAGTGCGCATGGTCTGAGGCAGGGCACCATATTGCCAGGGTGGCCAGATGGGCCAATATTGTACCGTCGCCGCAAGGACTGTCAACAGTTCGTCGTCCTGTAGCATCAGAAATTCGGGCACATGGACAGCGTCGCTGGCCCTGTTGCCATTGATCGACGGTTCAGAGGAAGCAAACTGCAGTTCTTCCGTCATGCTGGCTGCCTTGACCAGGGTGATCAGCGGCGCGTCTGGGAAGCCACAGCCGTCATCCGCCTTGTTGGACTTGTTGGGCATGGTAGCGTGGGCCGTGTTCTCAACATCAAGCTTCGACTGCAAGCCTATACCAACATTGTCTTCCACACTAACCGTTGTGGATGGAGCCCCTGGCAGTAGCCCCTTGAGCGACGGAGAAGCGCCCCTCTGACTCAGGCTAGCCCAGATATCGCGCACGTTGATTTCAATGTCGGCGAGCCGCTGCTTCAACTGCTCATCTCCCAGGGACAATAGGGGACCCGACGACTCAATATTCTGCCCCCCTGGCTGCTGAGCAGTGCACGGGATGCCGCGCTGGTCGCATTGCTGGCACGGCGGATGCGCGGCTGGGAAAACGCATCGGACTTTCCGCCTCCGGCACTCCGCACAGCTTCGCGTGCCCAGGCGCATTGGTCTCGGGTAAAAGCTGTCAGACATGGCGATGTCGTTTGACCGTACCAACTTGGCAGCTACGAGAGTTTAGAAGAAGGCGCTATATGGATGAGATGTCACGGCGGGCTCGCATAGCTAGTAGCGCATCGGTACGGCTGCGCTCGCACGAAAGTGGGGCCCGAGGGCTTAAAGCCGCCACCGCCCGTACGTGCGCCTCTTTCCCTTTTCGGTATACCCGCTCATACCATGCTCAACAACCACGACGAACCAAGCCGTCTGCGCGCACGGGACAGCGGCGTCCGCCGCGTCCTAAGTTGGCTCTATATAAACAGCCAGGTTGCTACTCTTCGGAGCGGAGAGCGCAGTCCTTTCTTAACACAACCCAGAAGCATTTACGACAGCAATCACTTGGCAGACGTCAACTTCCAGTATCACCAGAAAGACATCACCAGGAATACACACATGGACCATTCGATCGCGCTCGTCACCGGCACCACCTCGGGGCTCGGTCATGCAGCAGCTCGCGCTCTTGCTGGAGACGGCTGGCGCAATATCATCGTCACCGGGCGCAGCCTGACTCGGGTCCAGGAAACGGCCGCTCAGCTCGCGACAGAGGTCGGAAAAAAGGTCTTCACGCCGCTGGAGCTGGATCTTGACAAGCCATCTAGTGTTCAGTCCGCCCTCGCTGAGCTCATCAAGCGAGGTCAGTCGATCGACTTCCTACTGCTCAATGCAGGGTTGATGCCAGGTAACAAGCGCGTGCTCACGACGGCCGGCGTCGAGTCTTCCCAGGCCCCGCTCATCGGCCATCATCAACTGACTGTCGGCTTGCTCCGAGCCAACCTGCTGAGCCCCAATGCACGGATTGTTATCTCCGGCGCGGAACCTGCCCGAGGAGACGTCGCCATGTTCAGCTTCACAGATGTGGCGGACTTCGCGGCCAAGCACCACCAAGGCGACCGAACCGCCGCTGTTGAAGCCCTAATCCGCAATGGGCCAAACGTGAAGTACGTGCCCAACCGGGCGTATGCTGACGCGAAGCTCCTCATCGCTTGGTGGGTTGCGGCGCTGGCACGCCGGCTACCCTCCGATATGGCCGTATACGCCGTGGCGCCCGGTAGCGCACCGGACACCAAGGCGCCACGTAACGCTGGCCTGGCCATAAAATGGGTGGCAATTCCACTACTGAAGATCATCCCCGGAATGACGATGACTCCTGAGACCGCCGCCAATCGGTACCTCCAGGCATCGGAGTTCGGAACCGATGTCTCAGGGCAATTTTTCGCCTCAGCTCCCAAGAAGCTTACCGGCCCAATTGAGGCGATGCGCCACCCACACTTTTACGATCGTGCCAACCAGGAAGCCACGTGGCAGGCCGTCGTCAAGGTCTCCGGCGTCGACGTTCTTGATAACCAAAGTCCACACTGAAGTACTAAAATATAAGACACGTAAGTAGTAAGAATATCCGGCGAGTGAAACGGGCTGAGAGCCCGACAGTGGCTTAATAACAAACCAAGCCGGACTAACTGATTTCTAATCAAAAGCCTTCATTATGAAACGGATGACGGCGTCATAGTTAGTAAGCCAGAGTTTTTATAAGGGTTTACTAAAAGAAATTTCTGTGTAAACGCCGAGCAGTAAAAATATACTCATTATTGAATAAAGAAACACGATAAAGAGTAAAAAGTAAAAGTAAACGAAAAAGGAAAAAAAATTAATACCAAAAAATAAGCCTAGTCAATTATCAAAAAGTGTGACACGTCCATCGCCCCATTTCAAGGATGTATCCATATTTCGGCGTTTGCTCGCAAGTGTGGATAATTGTGGAGTGTTTCTCTTACAACGGAACGGATGATTTCCATGTGCGATGACCGACGATGCACAAAGCTGATGGGGCTGCACTCGCGTGCTTTCATCATATGAATTTCCAACCATCGGACTTGGCCCCGTTGCGATGCCCGAATCTAGGAAGCAGAAGTATGTGTGTGACTTACAACTCGGAAAAAATATGTGAACAACGACGAAACATAACGTTAATTTCGGCGTTCGTTTGTAATTCAAGTTTGAAAAATATCCATAGTTGACACGCAACGCGGGATTTGGATAATACAAACTGCGGAACTTTCACGCGTGTGAATTAGATGTCATTTGTTTAGTACCAAAGCACGAAATACGACAAGATTCTGTCCACATATTCGATAATCGGGAAGGACCGTTTTAATTCCGTCATCGAGTTGAAAATAACGAAAGTAAAACAAGTCACGCTACAAAATTGTCATGTATATATAACTTTGTACGTAGAACCCTCCGCATTACAGAACATCCTCGGTAGAACGGACCAGTGGTTTACGCAGCAACCTCTAATCATCTACACACAAAAAAGTCAAAACGCCAAACTTCTCTCCCAATGGAAAGTTCAACGTCCTCTTCTTCGGTACTTGATATCGACAAAAACAAAATCACAGGCACAGAAAACCACCTTTTCAATGAGAAGAGAGATAAACCAATAGGACAATTGAACGAAGCCCGGCTTGACACACTTGGATCTGGGCCTTCGTGTTCTTCAAATGTCGTTAATGAAGATGTTATCGAAGACCACGGCCAGGGAACCGACGCGCCTATGTCAGAAGAAATTTCCAGATTCCGTTGGGTCCTCGTGTGCATAGCACTTTACCTATCGACTTTCATGTACGGCTTGGATACCACCATTGCAGCGGACGTCCAGAGCGCCGTCGTTGAAACATTTGGTGCCGTTGAAAAACTGGCATGGCTAGGAGCAGGCTTTCCTCTAGGCTCAATCGCTGTTGGTTTACCTTATGGGTCAGTCTTCACACACTTCAACATGAAATGGGCTTATATAGGCGGCATAGTCCTGTTTGAAGTTGGCTCGGCATTGTGTGGAGGTGCGCCGAACATGGACGCTTTGATTGTTGGCAGAGTCATTGCGGGAATGGGAGGCTCGGGTATGTACCTTGGCGGTTTGACACACTTTTCGGCATTGACACCCCCCCGGACGCGGGGAACCTACATCACAGGAATTGTCTTTGTTTGGGGTATCGGCAGCGTTTTGGGTCCGGTGGTCGGTGGTGCCTTTAGTGACTCGTCGGCCACATGGCGTTGGGCGTTTTACCTCAACTTGGTCATCGGCGGAGCAACGGCTCCCATCTACCTGTTTTATCTACCCGCAGTCACACCTCCGGGTGTTGCAGCGGCCGAGGCCAATGGCACTTTACCACCAGTTCGAGTTCGCCTTGCTCGACTCGACTATGTTGGTTTTGTTCTGAGTGCTGCTGCTTGGGTGACCCTGACTCTTGCACTTCTCCTTGCCGGCACCCAGTGGTCATGGTCTGATGGTCGAACCATAGCGACGTTGACAAGTTTTGGTATTCTTTTTGTTGGATATGTTCTTCAGCAGTACTTTTGCCTTTTTACCACAACGGCAACGCGCTCTTTCCCGGGCCATCTCATCGCCCCGACGGCCAAGGGTGCTCGCACGCAGATCCTTCTATACATTTCAACATCGGCATCTATCACGACCATGTTCATCCCGACGTATTATATTCCAGTTTATTTCCAGTTTGTTCAGAACGACTCGGCTTTGATTGCTGCCGTCCGTCTCCTTCCTTTTGTCCTCGTTGCAATCACCACCAATCTCGCCAGCAGCTTTGTCTTTAGAGCTGTGAGGCACTACATGCCCGTTTACCTTTTCTCCGGTGTCCTGATCACCATTTCAAGTGCTCTCCTGTACAGGTATCTCACCCCCGATACTTCGACAACCACTATATATGGATTAACTGTCCTTGGTGCTGTCGGGACAGGGCTCCTTGTGCAGGCCGGTTTTCAGGTTGGTACTCTTGTTGTCGAGGATCCTGCAGACATGGGGCATGTCATCAGCATGCAAAATGTTAGCCAGATTGGTGGCCAGGTGCTATGTCTGGTCATTGCCGGTCAAATTTTCCAGAGTGTCGCCATAAACAACTTGCGTGCTGTTCTTGCCGGGCATGGGTATACGGACGCTGATTTGCAAAGCGCCGTTGCTGGATCGCGCAGTACTCTGTTCGAAAGCCTTGAGGGTGATCTTCGAGTAAAGGCCATTCGAGCCATTACAGAGGCGATACAAGCTACATACGTTCCTGTCATTGCTGCCGGTGCTCTTCTTGTCGTTGTCTCATTATGCATGCGACGGGATAAGCTTGTGTTTCACAATCCGGTTGCTGTATAACAATAACATTTACTTTTGCAATTTCATAGGGATTACCATAATACAATTCTGGTGTGAGAGATGAATAGTAATTATTACTTTTATCTTAAAGGTTCAAACATATGTGTTGGTGTAGTGTAAAATATAGATAGCGTGTTGTCTCTAGGACGTTTGAGACATATATCTGGTATAGGCATTCTATAGGTTCGTTGAAATCTGACGGCTCTATTCAAATCGTACGTTGACCAAGTTTTCTCCTCGAGTCAGCAGTCCGTTAGTGAGGGCTAGGAGACTGACGTAAACTACGTGGTGATTAAGCTTTTGGGCGGCTGTGGGTCCTCGCCCATCTACAGCGCATTGACCCTGTTCATAGGCATTTCTTTGTCCACGAAGGGATGAATGTAGTGGAAGCCAAAGAAGCACGTACCAGCAAAAGGTATGCAAAATACCCGTTGTTATAACCTCCTAAGTACGTCGACAGCCAGAATTTCGTTTTCGTCCTTCAAGGATGGCCACAATGCCAGGGTGATTGAATAAGTCACGGGGTTTACGGAGGCGAGCTTAGGAAAACTAAACCAAATGAAGAGAGTATTGGCATTACTATCTCGTGTTTTCTGAAACAACACAAGATTGGCGCACGTCTCTAGATCGCACCCGACGATAGCCGACTCCTACAACTCTGGCAGTTGCCAAGGTATTTTTGGCATGTGTTGGCCGAGTCCACTAACTTAGTTTGCGCGTCGCTCTTCTGGCCGGGTGCTTTATCACAAATCCAAGTTCAGCACGAAGAGGCGGACTAAGTACAGCGCTCCCTATTCCAATGCGCACCGTACTAGCCTGTAACAATTCTGCTGCAACAAGTGCTTCTTTCGGGCGCCACGTTGTCTCTCGATACACACGTGGTGGGCCTCGATGCCACCAGCCGCAACTTCGCATCACCCACAACCGCTCCAAAAAACCGTTCTCCGCAGACCCTGCCATCAGAAAATACGCCTTAGAGATACCCCACACAGCTAACCAATCCCAGTGGCGACGTGCCGGCACTGGATATGATCCCGGAAAGGCGCAGACACCGCCCGTATTGCCTCGGTACACGCGCAGTCATCTGGTGGATGCGTGTTCAAAAAATAAACAATACGTTTCAGCTCGTCCTGGATGAACCGCCCAAGAGATGTCTTAGAAGCATGCATCTCATGGACTGATGCAAGATATTGTCTCGTCTCGAGAACTAAAGCAAGGCACCCTATTTTTGTTATTTTGTATTCGTTCGTCCCCGATGAGAACTTCTTTCTCGCTTTGGCAATCTGAAATTGGTTGAGCCGCCTCCTAAGCCATATTGAAAGTGTTACCAAGTGAGAGCTACGCCATGATAAGTTCCCAAACCTCTCGCGCATCGTTAAGGTACTTTTCTTATTATCATCTACTCGTATAAATAGGCTAACATATTAAATGTGGAAGGGCACAACAAGTGAGTTTATAAGGAAGTCCACAACATTTCCTGCGAGTATGATGGTTTATATGAACTCAGCGCTATGTTTTCTTAATCAGGATCCTAGTAAGCTTATTAAACGATGTAGCGCACTCCATGCCTCCATGCCTCCATGCTTGGTCTATGGTATGAATTTATCTTTTGAAGACGCTGCTGTCCTTGGGACATACTTAATCATGTGAAGGGAAAACCACAAGTAAGGAGGTGCTACAAGACTACGAGGCGTTATGTGAAAAAAAGGGCGAGACAATGTCCGGGAGACAATCAACCAAGTAGGCCGCTCCAAACACTTCTCCCGATCCATGGTTTAGGCTACTGATTACTGAATTAATTCACATCGCCAGAAATTCAATAGCCATAGACTTGGTGGGGACGAACAGTTGTTATGGTCGAGACACGGCGCGGCAGCCCCAACTGGAAATTTCACAGTTCATTCCCGAGCCGCTGGGATTGTCTCGAGGTCCAGCCTTGGCTATATGGGGGCGGAAAGAACGTTGCTCAAAAGAGTCGAAGGTATCGGCAATACATAAAGTGTAGGCAATATCTGTTGTGTCCTAGGTATAACTTTAATGTTTAATATACCGTGCTTACCGACTTGCCGTTATAGCCACAGGTCTCCGCCTCTGTGTGTCGGGTCCCTGCGTAAGGTGATACATCTAGAACAACATCGATTGCCTTCAGTTGTCGTCCCACCACGGCACAGAGGATCTTCGGTGGAGCCGTAGTCATCTATTTTTTATATAGTACAATATTCCCCCTCAGGGGAATGGTCCAGTTTTACCGGTTAATTACCAACATATCGCCGTTCTCCAAAATATCCACATATTGTAATCAACACAATTAAATCCTTCCCGGAAGTCGAGAAGGTACACACCGACGGTTAAGTAAAAGCAATTAATCGATGCGACTTCCCCACGTTATTCGAAGCATAAATACTGAGTTACGTTCCCATACAATGGCCGTGTGCTTATAATTCTCTCCACCAACATTGCCTTACTTCTCTAGTACAGACCATTATGGATTATTTCAGAACTTTGGTTTATTTTGTTCTCATGGTGTCGCCCATCGTCAGCGCATCATGTGAATTACCTTCTACATATACATGGACCTCAACCGGGCCATTAACCAACCCGAAGGCGGGATGGGTCTCTCTCAAAGACTTTACCACTGTACCCTACAACGGCCAACATGTGGTATACGCCACAACCCACGACACAGGCTCTGGATGGGGCTCGATGGCATTCAGTCCCTTTCAAGAATGGACGGACATGGCAAATGCGACGCAGATCGCCATGCAGGAAGGAACAGTAGCTCCAACATTGTTCCATTTCTCGCCGAAAAATATATGGGTTCTCGCGTATCAATGGGGGACGACGTCATTCTCTTATCGTACGTCAACTGATCCAACCAAGCCTGGAAGCTGGTCCGCTCCACAATCTCTCTTTTCCGGCAAGATCACGAACACCGACACCGGATGCATCGACCAAACATTGATTGGAGACGACACAACAATGTATTTATTTTTTGCCGGCGACAATGGAAACATATACAGAGCCAGCATGCCAATTGGCCAATTTCCAGGCGATTTTGGTACCAAATCAACCGTGGTATTGACTGACTCTAGAAACAATTTGTTTGAGGCCGTGCAGGTCTATACTGTTCTAGGACAAAACAAAACCACCTACCTTATGCTTGTGGAAGCCATTGGCGCCCATGGTCGATATTTCCGGTCCTTCACCGCCTCCAGCCTGAACGGCACTTGGTCACCCCAGGCTACAAACGAGGCCCGACCTTTCGCCGGCAAGGCTAACAGCGGCGCAACATGGACAGACGACATTAGCCATGGCGACCTGGTCCGGAACAGCTCAGATCACACCATGCCAGTAGACCCGTGTAATTTACAACTGCTGTACCAAGGTCGTAAGGCCGGCTCAACTAGCGACTATGGACTACTCCCATACCGCCCTGGCCTTTTAACACTCTCTGGCAACACTGGGAAATAACGAATAGTATTACGCTCAGAGTTCCAAGGGTTACCGGCAGTTACACCAAGGGTACTACGACACCTCTTCAAAAACGCCAGTACCGCCTGTCAACCTTGGCTAGTGACTTCTTGTATATAAAGACAGTGGAGAGGCTCCTGATCATCGCGATGACAGTAGGGCGAGTCAGAAAATGGCAAGAAGGAAAGGGTCACTCGTTGTCGAGTGACAAAATAAAAGACTATGCTTTAGTGACGAATGTCAATGTTTTACTGTATAATACTACGTTCTATATGCATTTATTCTAAAGTAAACAACATAAAACACAAGGAGCAGCTCCCAAGGAGTCAAGCCCGTTACGGCTGCGCGAGAAGTGCTTCGCGTCGTATTCCCGAAGTCGATAAAAAGCTACGACCGCCCGTAAATTCTCATATATAGTATTTCGGCCAGTAGAGACCACGACGTACCAAGATTTTTACGGAAAGTTGGTGTGACGCGTACTCTGAGGGAACGCCGCACTTGAAATGCTCCTCATGGGCAAGTATTGTCGGATTATATTGTGTAGTATCCCTACCAGATATATTGGCCCATAGGATTAAAGTTTCCCGTTACACGGGACTTCATAAGGCGATCCATATGTTGTCCGGACGGTCGTACTTGGCGTAGTACTTTTCAAACGCTTGCTAGGCTACATCAACAGGACAGTCGCTAGTAGATATTGAGGTAACCAACTTTTTGTTCCACTCATTAACGCGGTTGCGGACCTCAATTTATGATTTACGTTGATAACCGGAAGGACTTTGGAGCCTTCTTGATACGAATTATCTGACATTGTTGAGAGGAAAGTATACCCTCGAATAAATCACTACTGATTAAATTCGCCTTCGATGTGTATTTCTCTCGAACATTAGGATACTCTGTCTTAGCCACCGGAATACAAATATTCCTACCTGTGGGCGATAGTTTTTTTAGTTTGTTGTTAAAGAGTCTCAACTTCTTTTACGAGGGGGAGGCAACCTAGACTGCGGAATCACTAAGTCGTCTTTGGAAGAATATTTGTAACGTAATATTTTTGGGCGGATCGATATCAAGGACATAACATTCAGGTCGCAACGACAACCAGAGCTTATGACTTGCTTGGCAGACATGGTAGTTCGCAACCCCAACTTCAGGGCCCTCCTTTGGTGGAGCATAAGGTGGAGAATTTGGTGCACAGGGCGCTTATGGTACTACCTGAATTCATGAAGATCTTGTAAAGTTTATTGTCAGGTGATGAAAAAGTATTAAAGACGACGATCACGATCGACATGCTCACGCCTTACTCCGTAGTTTAGCCGCGAGAGCCGGTTGCGCTTCAGGAATGCTTCGGCGACGTCAACAAAAGTTGATGGTTTGTTGGCGAATTTCCAGAGGATATGCTGACTGGGACCTTGCCGGCTTGTCAGCGTGAAAAACGGTGTGTATGGTACCGAGCGGGATTATTCTAGGTAGTTTACAACTTACAGCGTTACCAAATTATGATGTGCGATATGGATAGTCGGTGCTACAAGTTTTAGACCGGGAAGCCGGACTGTGTAGTGTTTAAGTAACACAGGTATTGCCTCCCGAAAACAATATTACAGCCGACAAGATTGTGTTCTTTGAGAAGTCAATATACAAGTTACATGCCAAGTTTAAAGAGATCTATTATTCATCCCCTGGGAACGGAAACGGAAATTTAAAATATAGCCGACAATATACAGCCCACTGGCGGATAGTGTGTAGAATTAATATAATTTATATCGTCTGCACGACGTTCAGGACCTACAATCAACAAAATTTTTATCCTCACATTTAACAACTCAGCCTGTCGGCAGCACATTCCTCGCTGTGATACGTCACGTCGATATCTCGAATCCAAGTGGTCATATCAGGCGAAGATTATGAATGCGGCTTGAAGTGCCACACACGACACCACTTTATCCTAGGAAAGTTCAGAGTATGTCGTGACGAGGGCGCGAGAGTTACAATTTAGTCTTTTCTTTCGTTACTTTCGTCTCGCTATCGATTATCTACAATGACTGGTCTGTAACAAGGCACAAATACTTTAAGATGGGGACGTAGCCCTTTCAGAAACAGCACTGTAACGCGGTTGAGCGTCGTAGAGTACTTGCTGACGGGCCGGGCTCCCCAGGGCCGATGTGACGTGATTAAACCGGATATTTTGACCCTGTCAGTGTGGAGTCGCGCGCCCAGAAACATGTTCGTCGCCGTATATTGAACCGGCAGCTGGGTGCGGCATATAAAACCAATACGTAGTTGCTACTATAAAAGACGGGGATAATTTGGGTACTTAGGCGGTGGCCAAGCTGCTGATAAATGACTTTGTTTAACCCGGTATTATGCCTTTTTATTTCATACCTATTCCTACGACGGCTTTATCTCACGACTATACCGCTGATTACACCGGTGACTAGTGATAAGCTTCGCTACTGTACTCCGTATACGCATATATAATTGTCATCACAACATCTTCAATTTCTTCTCGGTCAGAAACTTTGAACAGCACAAGTTTTTCTCGACACATCTCTCAAACCATTTCCAGAAAGATGTATCTTTCCGTCAGCGCCGCCTTGCTCTTTGGGAAATGCGTTACAGCGTTTCCCTATTCCTTTGGTACTCAAAACGGTAATGGGAGTCCGGCAGCTAGCCCGTTTGGCTTCTTTACAAACAACACCATTTACCAAACCACGGGCAAAGAAAGTATCACGTACCCGCGCTACACTGAGCTCAAGGATGGCGCCATCCTTGCAACATCGTCTCTTTCGGGTCATTCACCAGCATACTTCCCCGTTTTCGAAAGCCGCGATGGGGGAGCCACCTGGAAATGGCTGTCTGACATTAAGGACACAGTTAATGGTTGGGGTTTCGGCTCTCAGCCTGCCCTCGCCGAATTGACAGAACCTATTGGTGGCTTCGACGCGGGTACTGTTTTAGCGTCCGGAAACAGTGCAAGTAACAATGGTACTCGCATCGACCTTTATGCGAGCACGGACAAAGGATTGTCTTGGAAGTTCGTTAGCCACATCGCGCACGGCGGACGGCCTAACACGACCAATGGAGCTGACCCGATCTGGGAACCTTACTTACTGTACGTTAACTAGCCCGAACAAGACGGTCATCTATGGTGCCTTTTTAAGAAACTGACAAATGGTTGCACATCTCGCCTCTAGCGTTTACAATCATTCTCTTGTCTGCTACTACTCGGATCAGCGGGATCCTAAACATGGCCAGAAGCTGTCCCACCAAGTGTCAACGGATCTCAAGACCTGGGATGCTCCAGTCGATGACGTGGCATACGACGAGTACACGGCGCGTCCTGGCATGACCGTTGTTACGTTCATTCCGCCTATCAACAAATGGATCCTTGTGCATGAGTTCCCGATCGGCAATTCGAGCTCCCACGGCTCCCACTACCCTGTGTACTATCGTCTCGCGGACTCACCTCTTGACTTCCGCCTCTCTGAAGGCCTACCAATCGTCATCACGCCCACGTTAGTGCCAAACGCAAGTCCCTATGTCACATGGAGCCCGTCCGGAGGACCAAATGGCACAATTGTCGTGTCTGATGCCGACCGACCCCAAGTTTATACCAACCGTTTCGGAGGGCAGCTAGACAAGTGGGAGAGTCATATGACACCAGCAGGGGCCACTTACAGCCGCGCTATACACGTTCTCCAAAAGTACCCAGACCATCTTATGATCTTTGGCGGGGAGACTTTCGACAATATGAACCTCCACTTACACACACCATTCACAGCAACGGTGGTGAATTTGACACAGACTCTACTTAACTAAAAGGTGCATACTAAAGTAGAATTAGCGGTTGGATGTCAGCCGCCGAAGATCCTATATCGAATGATTGGACGCTGGGAGCCTTCGATAGAAAACAGACCAAATAATGCGACTGCATTACACGCTCTGACCTGTGGCCAAGTGGTTAACCGAATAAGATTATTCTACCCATCACTCTATAGTGCGTATCTGAAATATTTATTCTGTTTATCCGTCAGATCTTTGAATGACAACTTGTTACGCTCAGCCTCATCCATGTCCAAGGCTCTGCGTCGTGTGTTTTCGTGATACAACACGCCATAGAGAGTCGCTGCACTTAAAATTGTGATCGAATAACTGTGAAATTGAGACAGATCTGTCAGCGAGGGGTGCAGGTACGTGACACCAAAGAACAAATAAAAGTATAGCGGCTCTCAAAATGGATAATACAGTCCATATCAATGTAACTCACCATCCGAGCAGGCCACCCCACAGTGCCGGGTAGTGCTGCTTGACTGTCTGTGATCGGATCATCTGCGGACCGATAATATTCCCAACGCAGTAGGCGACGAATAGGACACCTGACATGAAGCTCTTTTTCGTGCCGCCAGCTGTGTTGGTGGATGCCAAAACAAGGGACATGCTGACAACGGGACTAAAGAACCCCATAAGGGAGTAGCCGACGACAGGTGCGGCGGCATGACTCGACCAGTGCGATTTCCAAATAATGATAAACGCTGCCATGGTGGGGAGACAAGCCAGCATCACGATAATGAGACGAATGTTTGGAATGCGAGATCCAATCCAACCAGCAAACAGCATCGAGCACGCGCTGATTATGCCCAGCGGGAATTGGAGAAGGATGGAGTCAAGTGTGGAAAACCCAAACGTCGAGACGATGAGCGGGCCAAAGCCGGTGATTGCACCGTTGACTGTGTAACCTGAGGCCATAATGATAGCAATCAACCAGATCTTGACATCTGTGACGGCTTCTTTGATCTGTGACAACTTGATTTGTGGGTTCCGAACACCGGTTTGGCCGGCGCGCAGGCGCTCCACGGCGGCAATGCGCTCAACTGGGGTCAACATCCACGCGTCCACTGGTGAGCTGGGAATAAAGAAGCCCAGAATACCAAACAAAAATGTCAGGGCACCCGCAAATATGTAAATGTATTGCCAAGAGTGCAGACCGCCCGATTTGATTTGTG